TACTGGAGTAATGGCTGATGGAAATTCAGCTTTGCATCACAGAAATAAATTATATTTTAAAGTATATTAAAATAGAAACCATTATTTTATATTGTAATAACATTTTGCAAGATTACTGTTTTTTTCCTGTATTTTTGATCAAATAAATGCAGCCTTGATGAGCATAAGAGATTTCTTTAAAAAACATTACAAGTCTTACTGAACGGTAGTGTATATATAAAACCCTTGCTACATGTACTGCATTAAGCTAACTGAGACTTGTCATAGCACTTGCATATCATTGCTCTTTTGTTGGTTTTGATTGTTTCCATTGTCCTCATTTGTAAGTCGCTTTGGATAAAAGCGTCTGCTAAATGACTAAATGTAAGGTAAATGTTACCTGTGATTCACCCCATTAATACTTCATAATGATCAGTTCTAATTCAGGCAGAGCCCCACTGTCTACACAAGACGGGAAAAAGGATGTTGGTGGGAATGCTGGTGAAAAACAAACCGAATTACAACAGCAGTCTTTTCATTGGCTGTCACTGATACAACCGCCGAAACCTACTGCGTTCATCAACCGCTTTGATTAGCTCTGCCAATTAACTGCGAGCAAACTCCACCCCGCTGTCAACTGACCGGAGATTCATTTATTTACTACAGATGGAAAAGCCGCAAAAAGAGATATTAATTATCTGTGAAAATAATTATAGGTTTCTTTAATGGGGCCAAAATAAAATTTTCAGCTGTGTTTACACAACACACGTGGACAGCTGATATACGGCACTGAAGAGAAGTTATTCCAAACACTATGATTACAGAGCAGCGAGGGTAAAGGGGGAGGAACAGCTTGGACAGGTCGCATGCATAAATCAGATCAGTTCTGTCGCTTTACACACTTGCCAACTGCTCGGTTTCTCAGAGAGCTCTAGCTTGTCAGTACTTCAAAAGGCAATGCTTGATAATGTCAAACTTGCAAGAACAACAACATTATAACAAACCTTGTAAAATCAGACAGGGCTGAAAAAAATGAGACTTTCCACCAGTTGCAACCAAGAGCATTTTCACGAATGCATGAGAAACTAGATATACATAAATCGGAAACGATAAAGCATGGACATGCAAAGGGATTTTTTTTCCCTGCAAATATCAATTTAGGGTTTCTGTCCAATGCTAACCATCCTAACTACTTTTAACATTAGAAAAGTGCAAGCAATCAAGCAAAAAACAGCAGTGCAAAATAAAATAAAATAAAAAATCTCCTAATTTACTTGCAACAAAAATGTGTTGTAATATAAATAAATAAAAAAATAAATAGAAGTGATAGTTTTATGCAATGCTGGAATGATCTATCTATCTATCTATATATCTATATGCACTAAATCCCAGCCTCAACCCATTCAGAAGTAACAGTACTTACATAGAAACCTATACATAGTAGCCAGAAAGAAACATTATAACAAACCTTGTAAAATCAGACAGGGCTGAAAAAAATGAGACTTTCCACCAGTTGCAACCAAGAGCATTTTCACGAATGCATGAGAAACTAGATATACATAAATCGGAAACGATAAAGCATGGACATGCAAAGGGATTTTTTTTCCCTGCAAATATCAATTTAGGGTTTCTGTCCAATGCTAACCATCCTAACTACTTTTAACATTAGAAAAGTGCAAGCAATCAAGCAAAAAACAGCAGTGCAAAATAAAATAAAATAAAAAATCTCCTAATTTACTTGCAACAAAAATGTGTTGTAATATAAATAAATAAAAAAAAACTATAAGTGATAGTTTTATGCAATGCTGGAATGATCTATCTATCTATCTATATATCTATATGCACTAAATCCCAGCCTCAACCCATTCAGAAGTAACAGTACTTACATAGAAACCTATACATAGTAGCCAGAAAGAAATGCTAATTTTAAAGAAAAACGTCATACGTACTTAGAGGCTTTTGCATCTGAACTCTTCATATATACTTAATGTATTATTATTTTAAGCATACTTACAAACAAATGTAGTGCACTGCTGTGACTCTTACCTGCCACATCTTCATACACATGAGCATCCCCAGCGTTGAATCTGGTTTGAGAGTGCAAACTGGAGTCCAGCTCCTCATCTCCACCACACTCACCTGAAAAACATCATGCACAACTTCAATTAGTTTGCACTGCTGAATCGTTCCTATGAGCAGTTTCAGAAGTGATAGTTTTATGCAATGCTGGAATGATCTATCTATCTATCTATATATCTATATGCACTAAATCCCAGCCTCAACCCATTCAGAAGTAACAGTACTTACATAGAAACCTATACATAGTAGCCAGAAAGAAATGCTAATTTTAAAGAAAAACGTCATACGTACTTAGAGGCTTTTGCATCTGAACTCTTCATATATACTTAATGTATTATTATTTTAAGCATACTTACAAACAAATGTAGTGCACTGCTGTGACTCTTACCTGCCACATCTTCATACACATGAGCATCCCCAGCGTTGAATCTGGTTTGAGAGTGCAAACTGGAGTCCAGCTCCTCATCTCCACCACACTCACCTGAAAAACATCATGCACAACTTCAATTAGTTTGCACTGCTGAATCGTTCCTATGAGCAGTTTCAGAGAAGATGATTATACGTTTAAGGGAGTCATTAGGAGTCACCACCACTAATGCTAAAGTACTGCAAGTTGAACGCACACCTTGATGTTACAGCCGCTTTGTCAATGATTCATAGTCAGTTATTACTCTCTTCAATTTTTAGCAGATGCTATCCTCACATCCACACTAAAATGAGTGTAAGAAATCTATATTCACAGAAAAGCTCTGCAGAGACAACTGCATTAGACAACTGTCCTGTTGGTTTGCTGTGATGCATGTTCACAGCTGGTAAAAAGGTCCAAAAAGAGTCAAAAAACACAACAGTTTCCAACACAGAAGGGCCACGACCATTAATAATAACAACTAACTGGCACACTAATGTTTCTGACTAACAATATCCAAAATGGTGAGAGCATGCAACTACAACAGTATCTGGACACTACATTGCACAACAAAATCTCAAAACAAGACACATTTGCAAACCAATGGTTTTTAGTGGATGCATGAAGTCAGTTCTCCTCAAGTGCACACAAGATGCAGTTCATCACATTATCCTTCAACATGATTCACTTATGTTTGACAAGCAGAATGTTTCCAAACACTCAACATTCGCTTCATAGTCCAGGAATCTTTTGCTCAAATATATATATTTTTTTTTAATAAATGCAACTTGGTTTAATATTTTAGCTGATGCAATGCCTTGTTTTTTTTTATAAGTGTCCAAAAACTTTTTGGGTCACTGTAAATAACACTATAATAACTCCTGAGGAACTGGTTGAGGCCAGTATGTCTGGCTTGATTGCACAGGCAGCCATGATTAAGAATCATTAAAATATTTTAACGCAGTTAACGCACTGGCCCCGCCCCCAGACCTGTACGTCATCTTACATTTCATACAATTGACTTGACAAATGTTATGCAGGGCAACAACTCCATAAATGCCGTTATGCCCTAAAATTCAAGATATTGGGGCACAAAATGCTCCTGTATGAGTTTTTGTCTCATATTTATATCATATGATAAGTGATATCACACGAGCAGGGAGAGTAATATCACACGAGTTCTGTTTGTCCCGAATAGCACGAGTGCAAATGTTATTTTATATGACAGCTCAGTAAATAAGAAGTTAATATTATGTTATAATTTAAACACAATATTGTCTGTTTTTGATCAATTTTGCCAACAAAAATATTACCTAAAGCCACAGCAGAATTGTTGCGCATCTCCGAGCAACACAGCGGTGTTTAGTTTCTGAATGAATCCGCGTTTTAAAGAATCGTGTGAACCAATGATTCAAAAACCCATTCATAAAGAGAGCCGTTTACTTAATTCCTCAATGAATCAGCCGTTTGAACGAATCAAATGAATGAATGACTCAAAGACATTTACCGCCACCTGCTGGCAGTTTTAGTTTCTTATTTTGAGTGTTATTGTATTACTTTAAATAAATAAATGGGTATATATAAAATATTCGAATTTATTTATGTATTACATAATCTTAAAATCAAGATTGCAAGTTAACAAATATGGGAATGGTTTGACGTCAACTGAATGCGGCTTGCAACCTTGACCGCTTCCAATCATGTCAGCTTTGTTGATTGTAAGATTAGTGATCAAGTCCAGTTTTGCATCAATACCAGTGGCAAGGAGTGGTGAAATGAAGAGGAGGCGAGATGCATAAGGGAAAAAAGGATGAGGATAAGAGTAATATCGAGGCTCTGTGTTTGGTCTGGCTGCAGGGCTGCTGGTAGCTGAAGCATGGTAAATGTAGCTCGAGTGACAGCTCAGGCTCTCTCAAGTGAGGAGCTGGCAGATTGGATGGTGAAACGACATGAATCTGGATGCAATAAAAGCCAGGACAGAGCAGAACTCACACTCTCTGCTTTCTGTTGCCTGCTCGACTGTACAAATCACGCAGACAGTCTGAATGAATCTTACCAAAAATGACCTCTACCAACATGATTCAAACAATGATTGAAATAGTCATGTCACTTGCCAAAACTGCACACTGCAACATGTTCCAATTAGTGCTGGTTCCATAAACTGATTAATCTGGCAATATTTAGCTATTTTGGGAAATTCGGAAGACTGCTTAGTTAAACATACGCTATTTTAAATTTAATTGATTTTTAATGTTTTATGTTTTTGAAAGAAGTCTCTCACCAAAGCTGCATTTATTTGCACATATATCAAAAATACAGTAATACTGTGAATTATTAGAATTTACACAAATTGTTTTATATTTTAGTACATTTTGCAATGTAATATATTTCTGTGATTGTAAAGCAAATTTTCCATAGCTATTACTCCAGTCTTCAGTGTCACATGATCCTTCAGAAATCATTCTAATATGCTGATTTGGTGCTCAAGAGACATTTATTAATTACAAAGCAAAAACAAACATGCAAAATAACAGACATGTATATAATTATTCTGCCTGTTTGAAAACCCAAGAGTCTATTTTTTTAAACAATAGACCACAAACATTTATTTCCAGCATCATTTCATTTATCATCCTAAATTCTGAATATTGACATCAGCATCTTAAAAGGATAGTTCACCCAGAAATGAAAATTCTGTCATTAATTACTCACCCTCATGTCGTTCCAAACCCGTAAGACCTTCGTTCATCTTCGGAACACAAATTATGATATTTTTGATGAAATCCGAGAGCTCTCTGACCCTCCATAGACAGCAACACAACTGAAATGTTCCCAGAAACGTAGTAAGAGCATCGCTAAAACAGTCCATGTGACATCAGTGGTTCAACTTTAATTTTGCAAAGCTACAAGAATACTTTTTGTGTGCAAAGAAAACAAAAATAATTTATTCAACAATTGTACATGCATGTTCTTAAGGCGATTATGCTTAATATGCATGTAAACGCAATAACATGCTTTCTGTCGGCTTACTGAAGTGCACATGTGATACGTGACAGGAACGCATCGTTATTGCAGATTTAAGTGCATTTAGACAAAGCAAACGTTGTGCAGTAAAGAAAGGAGGAATATATCACAAATGCAGACTCTTTCATGACATAGAAAATGATAAAAGTGTGTTCTCATCTCGTGCAGCAGAAGTAGAAGTGGTTCAGTCAAAACGCTGCATTTATAACTGCATGAGAGGATAATATGTGACCCTGGAGCACAAAAGCAATCATAAGTAGCACAGGTATATTTGTAGCAATAGCCAACAATACACTGTATGGATCAAAATGATCAATTTTCTTTTTTTATGCCAAAAATCATTAGGATATTAAGTAAAGATCATGTTCCATGAACATATTTTGTAAATGTCCTACCGTAAATACATTCATTTATTTATTTATTCACTTTTTAATGCCATGCCAGCCCTACCATAAATATATCAAAACTTAATTTTTGATTAGTAATATGCATTGCTAAGTACTTCATTTGGACAACTTTAAAGATGATTTTCTCAATATTTAATTTTTTTGCACCCTCAGATTTCAGATTTTCAAATAGTTGTATCTCAGCCAAATATTGTCCGATCCTAACAAACCATACATCAATGGAAAGCTTATTTATGTATGAATCTTGACCCTTATGACTGGTTTTGTGCTCCAGGGTCACATATATGAGCTGTAAGTTTCCTGCTGACATGTTGCAAGCTTTATTTAACATCACAACTGACGATGCTCGGAGTCAGATACAAATGATTATATTTTGACGTCACTACAGGGAAATAACCTGCTTTATTAATGAAGTCATGTAAACGCAGTTTACGCAGGTTACTGATGTGCATGTAAATAGGGAAAACTGGTTATTTTTATAAGCTGATATTTGTGAGTCATCAGCTTACTGGTGTGCATGTAAACGTGCTCAATGACAGAGTTTTCATTTTTGGATGAACTACCCCTTTAAACAACCTAATCCTCAGGAAGGCAAGTGCGGTGTTGTTGTGAACTGTGTGTGATGAAGCAGTCCCTCGCCTCCTCCATGTGTTCTGTGGGGAGGGCCAGCAGAGCGTCTCCGGGTCGGGTCTCCAGCAGAGAGCACTGACAGAACCCCACACTAGCCATCAGGAGAGAGTCTGTCACTGCGCTGCGGTCTTCAGACAGATCCCACACACACAGCCGAATGTCCCGACCCTGACTAACAGCCCAAATACATTAACACATGCACAGCAGAACAAAAACACAAGCCCACCACAGCAGCTTTTTAGACCAAGACAGACAGGGCAGTGGAAACAGTGGGAAGAAGTAAAGATAGGGCCCTATGTTTTGCACGATGCAGAAAACGCAGATGGTGGAATCCACTCCTAAAAATGGAAATTACAGTGTAATGTGGAATGTCACAGAATTTAGCAGTTTTTTGATGAATAAATCAAAAGCAGGGCTGTACACTTATGTACAGTGTATATATGTTTTAATCCAGAAAAAAAAAAAATATTGAAAAAATTAAAATTTCATAGCCCTATTATTGTTAAAAAAAACTATACATTATTAAATTAACATTTTATGAATTCAATGGATTAGACATGCTTTTTGATTATTAAAATAGAGTCCAGAAAAAGTAAAACAGAAAACACAGAACTTGGGAAAAAATGTAACAGATTTTATATGGCCCTAAAAATGCCGTCGTCTTTTTTTTTTTTTTTGTCATGTTTCATGATTTCAGTTGACAAGAAATGCTTTTTGATTTAACCATTAAAACAGAATCCAGAACAATTAATAGCGAAAAAACTTAGGGAAAAAATAAAACAGATTTCTTACAAAAAAGGGTGCAAAGCACTGTATTAATATTAATTTTCCGTATTTTTTTTTTTTTACAGATGTTTTACCTGCATTTTGAATTTTGCATTGTGTTTTAGGGTTAACAGAAATTTCTGGATAATGTCCTGGCAGAAAATTACAATCACATTTTTTTTTTTTTTTTAACACAGTTGTAGGGCCTTATGAGCATGACAGCTTAACATTCAATCCATGCCATGTTAAAGGAGTAGCTCACTTCCAGAATGAAAATGTCCTGATGATTTACTCACCTCCATGCCATCCAAGATGTTCATGTCTTTCTTTCTTCAGTCAAAAAGAAACTAAGGTTTCTGAGGAAAACATTCCAGGATTTTTCTCCATATAGTAGACTTCAATGGGGATCAATGTGTTGTTTCAATGCAGCTTCAAAGGGCTCTATACGATCCCAGACGAGGAATAAGGGTCTTACCTAGCGAAACGATCAGACATTTTCTAAAACAAAATTTTTTTTTTAATACTCTAACCATAAATGCTCGTCTTGCACTAGCTCTGCGATGCTCATGCGCATCTTCACACATTACGTAATCATGTTGGAAAGGTCACGCGTGACGTATCGACCCAGTGTTTACAAAGCGAACGTGCAAAGAAAGTCAAATGCTCTTTACAAAAAAGATGATTTTGAAGTTGGAGAAAATTAGATTTTTCGCCCTACCCTACCTTTTTAAACCAAAGTACACAGACGAATAAGCGCGTGACTTTTCCAATGTGATTACGCAATGCGTGAAATCACACATGAGCATCGCAGAGCTAGTGCAAGATAAGCATTTGTGGTTAAAAAGTATATACATTTTTTTTTTTTTTTAGAAAATGTCCTATCGTTTTAACTAGATTAGACCCTTATTCCTCGTCTGGGATCGTATAGAGCCCATTGAAACTGCAATTTGGACCTTCAACCCATTGATCCCCATTGAAGTCCACTATATGGAGAAAAATCCTGGAATGTTTTCCTCAAAAAACTTAATTTCTCTGCGACAAAAAAAAGACATGAACATCTTGGATGACATGGAGGTGAGTAAATTATCAGGAAAAAAACATTAAGGAGGCTGCATTAACATTTTAATAATTCACTGATAAACTAGTGCTTTTTTGTTTTCAGTTTAAGAGATGAAGTCGGCGACACTGACTCGTCATCTCCGCTGTAGTGATGCGCCTGTATGCTAATACTCTAACCATAAATGCTCGTCTTGCACTAGCTCTGCGATGCTCATGCGCATCTTCACACATTACGTAATCATGTTGGAAAGGTCACGCGTGACGTATCGACCCAGTGTTTACAAAGCGAACGTGCAAAGAAAGTCAAATGCTCTTTACAAAAAAGATGATTTTGAAGTTGGAGAAAATTAGATTTTTCGCCCTACCCTACCTTTTTAAACCAAAGTACACAGACGAATAAGCGCGTGACTTTTCCAATGTGATTACGCAATGCGTGAAATCACACATGAGCATCGCAGAGCTAGTGCAAGATAAGCATTTGTGGTTAAAAAGTATATACATTTTTTTTTTTTTTTAGAAAATGTCCTATCGTTTTAACTAGATTAGACCCTTATTCCTCGTCTGGGATCGTATAGAGCCCATTGAAACTGCAATTTGGACCTTCAACCCATTGATCCCCATTGAAGTCCACTATATGGAGAAAAATCCTGGAATGTTTTCCTCAAAAAACTTAATTTCTCTGTGACAAAAAGAAAGACATGAACGATGAAGTCGGCGACACTGACTCGTCATCTCCGCTGTAGTGATGCGCCTGTATGCATGTTTCATACGGATTACATAATCGGAGAATATTTGTTTTCCATTTGAATTGGTTCATTTGAAAGTAGACGTTTCACTCTCTATAGATATATTTTTCATGTCTGTAAGGCAAATATATACACGGAGTTTCGTGCTCAAGTGCACAGAGACCGAGACGGCAGAAAGAGCATCCCGTTTGCTTTCATTATTTTAAAAAAGACATGAACATCTTGGATGACATGGAGGTGAGTAAATTATCAGGAAATTTTCACTACTCCTTTAAGCTGTTACATGGTCACATGACATTAACACGTAGAGTCTTTACAAATTTGAAAGATGTATAACTCTTATCTGTATGAGCAAAAATTAGGGAGTATTTTAAGAGCAAGTGAGCGCACCGGCGCCTCCGTCTGATATGCAGTGAGCGCGCTACTTTTCACGCTCCACACAGACACTAAAGCGCACATTTCTCTAGATTACCACATAGACCAGCTGTTAACGATCTGCGTGACTTTATTGCGTGATTATTTATTTATTTTTTTTCCAAGACTAAGCGACTAATAACATTTTGGTCGACCAAGCCTCTTCTGGTCGACTAACGATTAGTCGAATATTTGGGGGCAGCCCTACATATTACCACCCCCCCTCTCCTTTACCTGATCAATCTGCTTCTGCGGTCTTTGAAAGTGTTGAGCCAGATAACAGGGTTCCCAGCGTGGCTCTCTAGAATGCGTTCTGCTCTCCTGGTGGTCAGGTTCCACATATGGATTGCACCTTTACCTGACCTGAATCACACAAACACCAAGATTACCGTACACAGGACAATTTTAAGGCAATACAAATGCTGCTGGTTCGTTTAATAAGTTGCCACCAACCCAGAGTAGAGAAACGGTGGTCCATCGCCAGCACAGCAGAAGCTCAGGCTGTTCACGGCGGCCCCTGAACCCCTCAGAATGAACAGCGGGTCTGGAGGAGGACGGGACATCACTACTGCAGCTGCTCACTTAACATCTGCATCCTAGGAAAAATAAATTAATAAAGCAATGAAATAATGCCAGTACTGGTCATTGATATATTGTGTATGCTTAGCAAAAAAATATTTTTTAGAGTCTAAAGTGGGTCTACTCTCTCTGGTGAACCACACACTCATTGAAATATTATGCCAACTTACCACCTCGGTGTCCCCATACCACAAATTGTTTTTTTATTAATCAATTTCTCGGTGCCCCTGTACTACCTATTATTATTTTTTATTGTATTTATTTAAATTAATTTCTTATTTAGTTTCCACTCATTCATGCAATTATTTTCCCCCGTCTTTCTTTTTTTGCTTGTTCTTATATAGTTTATGTACCCATTTAATTATTTATCTCCCTCTCCCCCCTTTATTTTCTTTATTTTCTTTATAAACATTCTCCTCTGACCGGCTGTTATATATATATCCGGCAAACATTAAAAATCGTTCTGATCCCAAACTTTTGACCGGTAGTGAGTGTGTGTATATATATATATATATATTTTTTTTTTTTTTGCATAATATAGATATAGACACACAACATTTTTTACACACACTTCACATAACTAGGCCTGCTACATGTACATCCTACTTTGTGTTCTACCTGTTTTGTATTGATGGTAAGTTTTTGTCATATGTACAGCTTTAAAAACTAATTTAAAAAAATCATTTAGACATTTATAATATATTTTTAATTTAGGATTTATGCAGATATCCTGAAAATATCCTGAATAATGTTTCACGGTTTCTACAAACATATAAAGCTTTCAACATTCCAAATCAGCATAATTTCTGAAGGATCATGTGAAATTGAAAACGAAAATTCTGACATTCAAAAACAATGGAATGGAATAATTTAATCAACCACCAGCACTGGAGGAATTTGTTTACACAACTTTCACATAATTATTAGCATCAACCCATATGTAAACACTGATATCTCTTAGTTAACACAGTAAACACTAAAAGCCTTTGGGCAAAAGGAAGATGTGATCATGCTATTTTCCTTGTCTTCCTCCTCCTTTATAAAACCTCTTTCTCAATATGTTATAAATCACGAGCTAGACAACTTAATTACTGTAAACAGACAGTCATTTTTCATTTTTATTTTCATCAACAGCTAACAAAAAAAAGGCGTTCAAAGCACACGTGAGCGCAAATGGCTCTGAGGGCCACAGTGGAGATGCAACAGACCACAAAAATTCAGACGATTAGACGTGAGCGACGAATCCTTTTCAAACTGCCACGCAAAGCTAAATTGGTTGATGTCTTAATAAAGGAAAACATTATAACTTGACACATTGATGTGGTTTTAAACCTGTAAGATGTCGTAAAAGACAGTTTTGACTCTCTTTAGAAATGCTTACGATTAGGGGTTGGGGAAAAATCGATTCACATATGAATCGCGATTCAGTCTTTTAGCAATTTGCATCGATTCACAAATCTCAAAAAAAAAATTCTAGTTAATATTATAATAGTAATAATAATGATAACAATAACATGATGTTGTCGGAACAAAACAACAACAGCAATGGAGGCGGAAAAACAAATACATCCTGCCCCATTTTCAGCGAGGGCAAGTGTTTGTAAAATTATTATATTAATTATTGATCTTTTGTTATTATGGGAAGTGTCAAATATTTTAGATTTATTAGGAAGTTAATAGTTAATAGGAAACTGATTTCTTGAGTCAGGACTACCCATACTATAGGCTGGTGCATTTTTGTATCAAAATACTGTTGTGTTTGTTGTCCAGTGTGCACAAAAAATTGATGAAGAATAGTGAATGGTGATTAAAAATCTAAAAATTTAGAAAACTGCGTAACTGTTTGCAAAAATTCCAAAAAATTAGAAAATCGAAAACTGCAGAGGTTTGTGGGCTGCTAAAGACCCGAGATGACGCATTCAGATAAGGAGTTAAAGCAGTCCTCAAAACAGCAAAAGCCAATCTGTCCTGTGGCATCAAGAATGCGAAACGGTTATGTACACAAAAAATCAATAATCACTTCACAGACCAATTTAGACCAGACGCAAGCCATTTAGACCATCACTGACTACAAGCCCCCACCACAGGCCTGTGATGATGACACATCCCTCCCAGATGCACTCTTATCCACTTTTATTCACGGTTTGAAATGCAGAATGACACACCTGCACAAAAACTGCCCACACCTCCCAACGACCAGGCGCTCTGTCTGTCTCCAGCCAACGTAAGGAAGACCCCTATCTAGGATTAACCCACGCAAGGCTGCGGGTCCTGACAACATACCTTGCTGTGTACTGAGAGACTGTGCTGCACAGCTGACAGATGTCCTAACAGATATCTTCAACACCTCGCTGAGCCAGGCAGTCGTCCCCACATGTCTCAAATCCACAACAATCATACCGGTACCAAAGAAATCACCTGTGTCCTGTCTAAATGACTACCGTCCCATAGCACTGACTCCAATCATGATGAAGTGCTTTGAGAGGTTAGTCATGCACAACATCAAAACCAGCCTCCCCAACACACTCGATCCGCTCCAGTTTGCATACCGTCCAAACTGCTCTACGGACAATGTGATTTCCTCCACCTGGCTCTTACCCACCTAGAAAATAAAGACTCCTATGTTAGAATGCTGTTCATCGACTTCAGCTCAGCATTCAACACAATAATCCCACAACAACTCATCAACAAACTAAACCTGCTGGGCCTAAACACCTCCCTCTGTAATTGGATCCTGGACTTTCTAACTGGAAGACCTCAGTCAGTCCATGTCGGCCGCAACACCTCCAGCACTACCACACTGAGCACAGGTGCCCCTCAGGGCTGTGTGCTCAGCCCGCTGCTCTTCATGCTGCTGACCTACGACTGCACTGCCAAGTTCAGCTCTAACCACATCATCAAGTTCACTGACAACTGTGGTAGGTCTCATCAGCAACAATGATGAAACACCCTACACTAGCTCCTGAAACCAGGATCCTCTCCCCCCCCATCCCACCACACCACATGCACCACATGAAAACTGTTGAAAACCTCAAGAACATTGTGCAATTCTGAGTGTGCTACACACAGGTGAGTGGGCTGGACAAACCACCTGTAGAAACACACTCTTTTCTCTCTAAATGCACCAGACACTTTCTTAAAAAGCCTCCATGTTACAAGGAAAACATTGTGCAATTCTGAGTGTGCTACACACAGGTGAGTGGGCTGGACAAACCACCTGTAGAAACACACTCTTTTCTCCACCATCTAAATGCACCAGACTTTCTTAAAAACACTCCATGTTACGAGAACTTAATAAGGACTTAACAAATGTTTACTTCTGAATGCACCACAAATCACATTGCACTATTTGCTTCTTAACCTTAACCTAGTACTTGTATAATCTGTCTTAGGTTATGTATATGTATAGTCAACTATTTATAGTATCTGTATAGTTAGATTACCGCTTTCAGTAAGTTAGTTATGTATAGGTTTAAAAATTGTTCTTATCGTATGGGACGCGGTAACACACGGCCCTCTCACAATATATTGCTTTACAGATCTATAACTTTTGCTGCTCAGAAATGTTCACGCAATTCAAAAGTAGTGTATTGTGCACTTTTTCCTTTAAAAGTACTGCTATATGAACAAAAGTGCAATAACATTTGGTTTGCAAACGCTTTAAACTAATTTGGTGCTTTTTTACAGCAGTATTCCTTTTACATAGTAATATTAAAATATTATAAATCTCCACTTTTGAATTCATTATTGAATTTTGTGTATAACAATGCGATTAAAGTGATAACTATGTGGCTCGGGGAACAAAACATTAAAACTTTGGGTCCATGGCCAGGAAACTCCCCAGAACTTAATCCCATTGAGAACTTGTGGTCAGTCCTCAAGAGGCGGGTGGACAAACAAAAACCCACAAATTCTGACAAACTCCAAGCATTGGCCTAGAAGTTGATTGACAGCATGCCAGGACGAATTGCAGAGGTCTTGAAAAAGCTTAAAACTATTTTCAGAATGTGTAGTTTTACTAATTAATAAGAAAAAAAAAACAGATTAAATATAATTAAAATATCTGACCATAAAGATATTCTTTATATTTTACAAATAAAATGCTATTTTTTATGGACAAATCTAAATATGTTTTGAATCATATTTCTCACAGAGATTTGAGTAATCTCATTGTGTATTCTTAGCAATAATGCAGTTTTGTGTCATGGTTACGCAATGCATTTAGTATTTAGCAACTTCACCAATTAGCTGGAAAAGCTGGTCAAGAGCTGATTCCACAGGGGAGTTTTGGTTTTTTAAGATGAGACATGACACATGAGGAAGTATGAAGAATGACAGTTAGTGATCTATACACACATTCACACGTATCCGTATCTGGTACCAGAGCATCAGAGCCCGCTCTGCAAGACTGCTCAACAGCTTTATTAACACTCCATGTTACTAGAACTTAATAAGGACTAAACAAATGTTTACTTGTGAATGCACCACAAATCATATTGCACTATTTGCTTCTTAACCTTAAATGCCTCTTTTGCACAATATCATGCACAGTTATTAGGTAAAGTACTTGTATAATCTGTCTTAGGTTATGTATATGTATAGTCAACTATTTATAGTATCTGTATAGTTAGATTACCGCTTTCAGTAAGTTAGTTATGTATAGGTTTAAAAATTGTTCTTACGTCTAGTGTTCTATGTTTATATTTATGTTTATTTATGTAGCACCGTGGTCCTGCGAGACACGACATTTTGTTCCACTGTATGTCCACACATGTGTGGACTGACAATAAAGCTCGACTTGACTTGACAAAACGTGAATTGATTCGTAATCAAATTGTGACTCCAAGAATTGATATGAATCAAATCATGAGGTACCGAAAGATTACCACTCCTTCTTACGATGCTTGAGAAGAATTTTTTCATAACTAACTGTATTAGTTATTGGCCCATTTTAAAGGGAAGCAAAAATTACAGCAATTAAAATGAAACAAAATTAAGACAATTAAACCTACATAAC